CCGCATTATTCTTCATCGTCCTCATCCTCCTCCGCCTCCTCCTTAGTATTATTCGTCCTCCTCCACATCCTCCTCCGCCTTCTTCTTCGTCGTCGTCATTATCCTCATCCTCATCCTCCATCTTCCTCGTCGTCCTCCTCCTCCTCATCCTCCTTTTTCGTCCTCCTCCTCCTCATCCTCCTTCTTCCTCTTCGTCATCCTCCTTTGTATATCATTCGTAATGCTCCTCCTCCTTCCTCTTCGTCCTCCTCCTCCTCCCCCTCCCTCTCTGCTTCGTCCTCCTCATCCTCCTCCTTCTTCTGCGTCGTCCTCCTCCTCATCATCAGGATCGTCCTTATTAGTCGTCCTCCTCCTCCTGTTTCGTCCTCCTCCTCATTGTTATTCTTCTTCGTCCTTCTCCTCATCATCCTCCTCATCCTCCTTCTTCTTATGCGTCCTCCTCCTGCTCCTCCTGCTTCGTCCTCCAACTCCGCCTCGTCATCATCCTTCGTCTTCTTCGTCCTCCACCTCATGTTTATAATGATTATTGTTCGTTCTCCTCCTGCTTCGGCTTCGTCCTCCACCTCCTCCTCATCATCCTTCGTCTTCTTCGTCCACCCCCTCCTTCTTCTTCGTCGTCCTCCTCCTCGTGTGTCTTGTTCGTCCTCATCCTCCTTCTCATCCTCTTCATCCTCGTCCTCATTATTCTTCGTCGTCCTACTCCTCCCTCTCCTTCTTCGTCCTCCTCCTCCCCCTCATCATGCTCCGCTTCATTAATATTTGTAAGTGTCCCCCTCCTACCCCTCCTCCTCCGTCGTCGTCCTCTTGTTCTTATTCGTCATCCTCGTCCTCCTCCTTCTTTTTCGTACGCCTCCGCCTCCGACTTCTTATTGTTCTTAGTACTCATCATCATCATCATCATCCGTCGTCCTATTCGTCCTCCTCCTCCTCATCATCCTCCGTCGTCTTCCTCTGCGTCCTCCTACTCCTCCTCCTCCTCCTCCTCCTCCTCCTCCTCCTCGTCCTCCTCCTCCTCTCTTCATCGTCCTCCTTGTTCTTTGTCCTCCTCGTCCTTCTTCTTCTTCGTCCTCCGCCTCATCCTCCTCCTCCTTCTCGTTCTCATTATTCGTCTTCGTCCTCCTCATCCGTCTTCTTTTTCGTCCTGCTCCACCTCCTCATCATTCGTCTTCTTCGTCCTCCTCGTCCTCCTCCGCCTCCTCCATGTTATTCTTATGTGTACGCATCCTCCTCCTCATCCAGCTTAGTAGTAGTATTGTGTGTTGTGTTCGTCTTCGTCCTCCTCATCATCAGCATCATCTGCATCATCAGCATCATTCGCCGTCCTCCTCCTCCGCATTCCCATGTAGTCCTCTGCGTCATCCTCCTCCTTCGTCTTCGTAGTGGTAGTCTTCTTCGTCGTCCTCATCCTCCTCCTCATCATATTTCACCGTCGTCAGCCGCATCCTTCTTCTCAGTCGTCCTCCATCTCGTCTTCCTCACCTTCCTCCTTATTATTCGTCATCATCCTCCGTTGTTTTCGTCGTTATCCTCCTGCTCATCCTCTGCCTTCTCCTCCTTCTTCTTCGTCCTCCTCCTCCTCGTGTTCCTTCTTCGTACTCCTCCTCCTCCTCCTCCTCCTCCTTATATCTCGTCGTCCTCATACTCCGTTTTCTGCGTCGTCCTCCTCCTCCATATCCTCATTATTCTGATGCGCCATCATCCTCCTCCGTCGTCTTCTCATTCGTCCGCCTCATCAGCCTTCTTCGTCGTCGTCATCCTCCACCTAATCCTCCATCTGTCTCGTCTTCATCATATTCCTCATCCTCATCCGTATTATTATCCTCCTTCATTCGTCGTCATCCTCCGCATCATCGTCATTATTATCAGTGTTCGTCCCCCTCCTCCCCCTCATCCTCCTTATTCTGCTTCGTCGTCCTCCCCCTATGTATTCAGCATCCTCCTCCTCATCGTCCTCAATATTCGCATGCGTCCGCCTCCGTCTCCTCCGTCTTCGTTTTCGTTGTCCTCCTCCTCCTCATCCTCTGTGTTGTTCGTCCTCCTCCTCCTCCTTCGGCTTCGCCCTCCTCCTCATCATCAGTCTTCGTCTTCGTCGTCCTCCTCGTCCTCCTCCTCCTCATCCCTCTTCTCTTCGGCCTCCTCCTCCTCCGTCGTCTTTGTCATCCCGCCTCCTCCGCATTCTGTTTCGGCCTCCTCCTCCTCCTCCTTCTCCTTCGTCCTCATCCTCCTGCTCATCATCAGTATCCTTCATCGTGTTCGGCATCCACTTCGCCCTTATTCTTCTTCGTCATCATCCTCCTCATCATGGATTCGTCGTCTCCCCCCTTCTCCTCGTTCGGCCTCCTCCTCATCCTCATTCTTCGTCCGCCTCCTCCCCCGCCTTCGTAGTTGTCCTCCTCCTCATTCTTCTGATTCGTCCTTCTCCTCCTCCTCCTCCACCTCCTCATCATCATCATTATCAGTAACAGTATTAGTCATCGTCCTCCTCCTCCTCTCCCTTCTTCTTATGCAACCTTATACTCTTCCTCCGCGCCCTCGTCCTCCAACTTCGTGTTCCAGTGTTTCTTATTCGTCATCCACATCCTCCTTCGTACTCTTAATTTTTCATCGTCATCCTCCTCCTTCGTAATATTAGTCGTCCTCATCCTCCTTCTTCTTCATCGTCCTTCTCCTCCATATTCTTCGTGTTCGCCTTCGTCCACCTCCTCCTCCTCCTCCTCATCCTCCTCATCATCCCCCGGCTTCGTCATCCTCTTCCGCCTCATCCTCCTCCCACTCCTCCTCCCCCTCATCTTCCTCCTCCTCCGCATCATCATCCGTCGTCTTCTTATTCGTCCTCCTTCTCGTTCGTCTCATCCTCCTCCTCGTTCTCCTCATCATCCTTCTTCTTATGCGTCCTCCTCCTCCGCCCCCTCCTCCGTATTCTTCTTAATCCTCCTAGTCCTCCTCCTCCGTCTCCTCCTCCGCCGTCTTCGGCGTCGTTCTCCTCCTCCCAAACATTAGTACGAGTATTCGTCCTCATCCGCATCCTCCTGCTTTATCATTCTTCCTCATCCTACCCCTGCTTCTTATTCCTCCTCCGCCTCCTTCGTCGTATCATGATTCGTCCTCCTCATCCGCCTCACCCGTTTTTTCTTTGTCGTCCTCCTCCTCCTCCACCACCTGCTTCGTCTTATTCGTCCTCCTCCTCATTCTTCTTCGTCCTCCTCCTCCTTATTCTGCTTCGTCATCCTCCGTCTTCTTCGTCGTCTTCCTCCGCATCCTCGTCCTCATCATCCGTATTCGTCTTCGTCCTCGTACTCCTCCTCCCTCTTATTCGTCCTCCTCCCTCTTCTCATTATTCGCAGTAGTCATATGATGCCTTCTCCTTCTTCCACCTCCTGGTCCTCATCCTCCTGATTAGTATTCCTAGTTTTAGTCGTCCTCCTCCTCCTTCTGTTTCTGCTTCTTCGTCGTCCTCCTCCTCATCGTCATCATCCTCGTTGTTCGTCCTCCTCCTCCGTGTTCCTGTTCGTCCTCCTCATCCGCCTCATGATACGCCGTATTCTTCTTCGTCCGTATCTTCCTCCTCCTCGTCCTCCTCCTCCTCTTTCTTCTTCGTCATCCTCCTTGTTCTTGTGCGTCCTCCTCCTCCTCGTCCTCCTCCTCCTCTTTCTCCTTCTCCTCCTCGTCCTACTCCTCCTCCTTCTCCTCCATTAATTTTCCTTGTGAATAACTCCTCCCTGTCGCACCCCGAGACCAGTCGGAAGGGCGAGTCGTGCGTTTCGCCTGAGACTTGCTTATAAGATTTTGACGCTGAAGCTTAGAAACTGGCGACAGCTTCACAGATGGAGGGCGGGTCGCTTCCAAAATGTAGCTTTCGCCTTAGCGCCGAGCATATTCGTCTTGTAAATGTGCATGAGCTTCCCGGATTAAGGACGGGTCTGTTTCAAAAATGTAGCTCTCGCCTTAGCGCCGCGCACACTCGTCTTAAACATTCGCAAGAATGTCACGGATTAAGGGCAGGTCGCCTTCAAAATGCGGCTCTCGCTTTAGCCCGCGCATATTCGTCTTGAGAATCGCCAGAACTTCACGGATTGAGAGCAACTCGTTTACAAAATGTGGCTCTCGCCTTCGCGCCGCGCACACTCATCTTAACAATGTACATGAGTTTCGCGGGTTCTCACAGTTAACCCTCCAGAAAAGGCGCAACAGACACGTTGGTTCGCGGTGTTGAGGTCCCAGGAATGGAGTTCTGGCACGATTCAGGATCGTCAAGACGCAAAAGTGAGGTTGATTCGTGGCGTCGAAGTCCTGAGAATGGTGTTCTGGTTCGCTGCACGGTTTTCACACGACAATTTCCTCACGGAGCACTTCCCTCAGTGGAAGAGAATCATTGTATGGGACCTACGATGAGGGAGCTTGGAGGGAGGGTGTATCCCAACATCGCTGATGCGCCTTAGGTTTACACTGGTCCCCCGTCCTCCTCCTCCCCCTCCTCCTCATCCTCCTCCTCCTCCACATCCTCCTCCGCCTCCCACATGCTGTCCGAGTAGATGAGGTCGGAGGATCGCGCTGCATCGGCGATGCATCACCGATACATCGTCGGTACAGTGGCGACGTCGGCGGTGCATCGCTGACGTCGGCGGGGAAAACATCGGGCTCCGCATCGAGCCGCATCGCGGATGCATCAGCGATGCGGCGCGATCGTCCGACCCCATCTCCTCGGACCCCACTTGGGAGGCCTGGGTCTTTGCCTCCTTCCCTTTCCTCGGGCTCCCTGCCTGCTGTCTCCGCCCGGCCCCCCTTCCGCCTGCCCGCCCGCCCCGCTGGCCACGGCCTCCCGCCTGCGCGTTCGTCGTTGTCTGCCTCCTTCTCCCCTCCTCTCCCCCCTTCGCTGGGCAGCAAAACCTGCCCGGGAGCAGGGTGGAGCTTCGTAGAACGATGTCCTGTGGGCCCCACAGGGAGCTCCACCCAAGGCATCGGATTCTGGTCAGAACGAATCCTGGATCCACAGACGAATGGCTTAGAAACCCAAATTAAACCCTTCGTGCAAGCCCTGTCAGGTGAAAGGAGCGGAGGAGCCGAGTGCGGAGCGGGCAGGAGCCGAGCTCGGCCCTCTCGACTGCCATGGCGCATGCCGTAGACGGCATCCCAATACGCCCTCGATGCACCGGAGCCAATGGTACAGTCACGGCATTATGAGAACACAGGCGATACGTGTGGCTGCAAACTGAATGCTAATGGGAGGATAATGAGGAAAAAAAGAAAAGAAGGATGGGGGGAGACAGAGAGAGAGAGAGAGAGCGCGCATCAGGTTCAGTGGGAAGAAGACCACCACGACGATGAGGGCGGATGAGGTACGTCACAGGAAGAAGCGCGACACGGGCACACGCCAGGGCCTCCCCCTTCATCTCTGGAATCAGGTCGGCCACCCCGACCCAGACCACCTCATCAATCTGCTTGTTATACCTGCATGGGGGGGGGAGGCGAAGGGGAACGGGGGGAGGGCAGTGTGGGGGCGAGGGGGGGAGGGAGGAAAAACGGAGAGGGAGGGAGGAGGAAGAGGAGGACAGACACTGGGCGAGGGCGAGGACGAGAGGGAGGGGAAGGGGGAGGAGAAGAAGGGTGGGGGGGGCGAGGGACGAGGGCCCCCGAGAGCGCGCCCGAGTCGAACACGCCCCAGGAGGAGCGGGGAAACCCTGGGCAGCCGCCGAGCGGCAGCGAGATGTGCACCTCTGGAGGCGAAGGCGGGGGCCCGGGCAGAGCCCGCGCCTCGGGACGCCGCCGGGGAAAGGCCAGGCAGGTTCGCCCCGGGGCTCCCCGCGCCGAGGGCGCCCAAGGCGCCCCGTGGAAGATCCTGTCGATCAATCTGAGGAGGAGGAGGAGGAGGAGGAGGAGGGGGAGGAGAAGGAGGAGGAGGAGGAGGTGGGGGGGGAGGAGGAGAAGGAACTCCTCGCTCGGATTCTCTGAGAGCCCGCCCCACGGACCGCGGAGCTTCCGAGCGCTCCGAGCCGTCACGACGGCCGTCGTGCCAGCACACGTACGAGGGCAGCAAGCAGATTTGGCACAGAAGGGCGGAGGGGGCGGGGAGGGAGAAGAAAGAGGGAGGGAAGGGGAAGCAAGGGGGTGGACTAGCACCACGAGTTCCAGAGAACCCACTGCTACCAGCATCTGTTGGGGGGGCTCCCACAGCATCTCTCGCGCATCCCTGGTGCACTCCTCCTTCCTCCCCCTCCTCCTCCTCCTCCTCCTCCACCTCCTTCTCCTCATCTTCATCCTCCTCATTATATTCCTACTCCTTTCTCCTGTCATGCTGGATGGTACTATTGATTCAAGAGTGCAGGCCCAACCACAGCCCAAACTTGCCCACCCCACGTGCTGATGAGGTTGTCGGCGGCAGTCCAACCCTACCCATGATTCTGGTAGTCGTGATTACTGCCACAGTGACGGGGTATGTCGCGCGGGCTTTGGGACGCAGCGAAGGCCCGAAGACGGACCAAGAGGGCCCTCAAAGACGCCCAAGACGGTGGAACAGGGCCCCGAGTCGAACGATCGGTCCAAGACGCCCTAGATGGCCTCCAGACGGCCCAAGATGCCCTCAAGACGCCCCAAGAGGTCTTCAAGGAACCTTCCGAGATAGCCACAAGAGACAAAGAGAATAGATGTTTGATAAGTTGTTTGAAAGATTGTTGGCTCTTGGGAGCCTTGATGTGAAGACCTTGTTACGTCACTGTGAGCTCGCCAGAGCCATGGTGTAATTTGGCGTCACGGTCGGTCGGTCGGACCAAGCAGACCGGAGGGGGGCACGGGGGGCCACGGTCGAGCAAGGAGGGGGGTGGGGGCACGATCGGCCGGTCGGAGTAGGCAGAGGGGGGGGGGGGAGAAGGAGAGGGCACGGGGGGCAACGGTCGGGCAGGGTGGGGGGGAGGCACGGCCGGTCGGCCGGAAGGAGCCGAGGGGGGCCACGGGCCACGGGAATGGGGCGGGAGCACGGGGGGGGCCACGCTCGGGCAGGGGAGGGGGCACGGACGGGCAGGTCGCAGTCAGCAGGAGGCGGGCCACGGGGGAGGAGGGGGGGGCGAGAGCGCGGGGTGCCACGGTCGGGCAGGGGGGGGGCACAGTCGGTCGGGCAGGTCGGGATAAGCAGAAGGGTTACGTTGCTCCCATCGTAATTTCTTGAGGACGACATCCCAGACATGATTTCGAGCACCCGAAAAAAGAGTATCGAACGAGTGCCGGAACAGTGTCGGGCGAGTGTCTCCCAGGGCCCGACACGTGAAAACCCTGGAGTTTCGGCATTTTTCTCAAAATTCTCCCTGGTGATCAAGGCCCAAATAGGTTGGAACCTCATAACAGACGGGGTGGGCATAGGGGGGAAGGGAGGGGGGCACGGGCGGCCACGGTCGCGCAGAGGGGGGAGGGGGGCACGGTCGATCGGTCGGAATGAGCAGATGGGGGGGCACGGGGAGAAGGGGGGGGGGGCACAGGGGGGCACCGTCGGACAGGGGGGAGGCACGGTCAGTCGGTCGGAAAAAATAGGGAGGGGGAGGGGGCACGAGGGAAGGGGGGGCACGGGAGGACGCGGTCAGGCAGGGAGGGGGGGGGGCACGGTCGTCTCGTGAAGAACTGGTCCCAGTGACGCGTTCCCCAGACCCCCGACGTCGTGATTTATTCACAACGTCGAGCCCCAAAGGTCTGGATCCCTTCCTCGGGACCTGTTTTTCATCCTGACTCGTTTTTTGACGGTCCCGAGGCCTGGGAAGGGGTCTGGGTATACGGCGGTTTTCGTATCGTGAAGAAACGGTTCCAGGGACGCGTTCGCGAGGTCGGGGACGCAGGATGTCTAGGTCGCCCATGCTCAAGTCGGGCAGCTTCTCCTACGGGCGGATTTCGTAAGAAAAATGAAAAATAAACAATATCAAAAAAACACGAAAAATCGTCACAATACTATTTTTCTACTAGAGAGCCGGCGGGCCAAAGGCGCCGCGGCAGACCCAAAACTAGTTGGGCGAAAGGTGTTTTCAAGCACGCGCCTGCAGCTGCTGGCAGTGAAGAGAGGCTCAACACACTGCTGATGCCACAGGCCACAGAGTGAGTGGGAAGCCGTTGTGAAGGAGTATTGCCATAACTGCGGTTAACTTTTTTCCCGTAGTCTCTTGCTTGCTTGCTTTTGAATATCCCTCCTGTACACCCTGCGAAATGCTTAAGAAATCATGGGTTAAGAAATTCATAGTCTCAGAAATTGAATAAAACCCAGAACTTCTATCAAAATCTTGGGATTCACATTGAAACGTTAAGAATAATCGAGACTCTGGCCGAAAACTTAGGTTTTCTTAACCATCGCCTAAGGTGTAGTCTCTTGCTTGCTTGCTTTTGAATATCCCTCCTGGTAGAGGGCCATGCCCGACTTATAAATCCCGAGCCGGTGGCCGCCCCGGCAGCACGGGGCGCGGCGTCGCCGCCCCGAGGCCGCGCCACCCAGCCGGGGCCGCCGCCCTGGAGGGCATCGCCGTCGGAGCCGCCCGCGGGGCCGTGCGGGAGCAGGCCCAGAGAGGGGAGGAGGAGGAGGAGGAGGAGGAGGAGGAGGAGGGGGAGGAGGAGGAGGAGGAGGAGGAGGAGGAGGAGGAGGAGGAGGAGGAGGGGGAGGAGGGGGAGGAGGAGGAGGAGGAGGAGGAGGAGGAGGAAGAGAAAAAGGAGGAGGAGGGGGTGCCCCCCAAGGATCTTCAGGGAGGCCCCCACGACCTCCAGAGCACCCCTCACGAGGCCCAGGGGGGCCCCAGGGGCTCCAGGACGGAGCGAGAAGCGGGGGGCACCTTTCGGCCGTTTTCGGCCTCTGGGGGCCCTCGCCGGGCCCCGGGAGGGTCAAGAAACGACTCGGGAAGAAAGACCGGCCCCTGGGGAAGGTGTCCAGACCTCTGGGGCCCACGCATCGAAAAAATTCGATGCAGCCGGCGGGATTTGGCCGTTTTCGGCCTCTGGAGGCCCTCGCCGGGCCCTGGGACCGTCAAGAAACGGCTCGGGAAGAAGAACCGGCCCCTGGGGAAGGCGTCCAGACCTCTGGGGCCCACGCATCGAAAAAACTGGAGCAGCCAGGACGTCTGGGGAAGAGCAGCCCCACGGCCTGCCCGTGGGGCGCGGAAGGAAGTAGAGGCCTCGGAAAAAAATTAGCGAACACTCATGCCACATTCATCTGTCAACGGTCCCCCCTCCCCCCAATGTTCAAAGTTGGCAGTGGGTCTGACGAGATGCACTTCGACCGCAGTCTCCCCCGCGCGTGTCAACATTGAGGTTGAGGGAGAGAGGGGGTGTTCATTAACTGTTTCCCTCTACCGTACCAGCACGATGCGCTCCTCTTGGATATCTGGGCGACTAGAGGCATCCCAGATGGGGTCGACGCAGCTGGGGTCGGGTCTCGCCGCGTCGGCGGTGCAGCTCTGCTACATCAACGAATGCACTGACAACTGAAGGGGCCCTGGGACACACAAATAAATACACAGAACTAAAAAGATTCCCCATATTTTCATATATTTTCTGGGTTTTTGTCTTCCCCCCCACGTCCCACGACTAATTGTGTCTGTGTGTTTTTTCCCTCCTGAACAACGTCGGCCATGCATCGGCGACGTCGGCATGGAGAAACTTGGGCCCCACATCGAGCCGCATCGCCGACGCATCGGCGGTGCAGCGCGATCCTCCGCCCCCAATATGCTTCGACCCCATCTGGGAGGCCCAAAGGAAGGACGTGCGACTACGACGCGTTCCTCCTGGACATCGGAGCGCCCAGACGTGCCGGGAAGTCTCAGGTGAAACGGGCCAGACCATCTCAGCCCGGGTCACCTCGGAATACGGACTTGGAAGGATGTCTCGAGCGAAACGGGCCGGCTCGGCGGAAGGCTTCGAGAATGTCTCGACGCGCGGGACCTTTGGACGGATCTCGATCTTACTGTTCAGTCGTGCGTGTCCCCCTACAGGGGGATGTTCGACGAAAAGTAACAAATACTCAAAAAGTATTCCAAAATGGACAAAAAATCCTCAAAAATAGTCCCCAGACTATGTTCTACTATTCTTGCATATTCCTCCTGTGGAGGGACAGGCCCGACTGAATCTTACCACAACCATGCCCCCCGGCACCGACTGGGCAACCCGGGAGCACCCCACAACAGAACTCTTATGACGGCAACAAACCAGAACCTCCCAGAGGGCACAAACACCGTACAGCACGTCGGCATCCAGGGCGTCATGGCCCGAAAGAGCCCGCTACCGAGCACGTACTACTCGGGGATGGACAGACCCCCCTTTAGCAAGACGTGGCTTAGTGAAAACGACCTGAGGCCCAAACCTGGCGGGCGCGAGCCTGGAAAATCACGGCCCCGGCGCCCTCTCGAGAACCGAAAACGGACAATTCACGAATCGACGTGTCACTGTTGGGGGTTCTGTCCACCCCCGTGCTACAAGATCTCTCCGCGCGCGCCTCGCTCTTGGGGGAACGGCGCACACACATAGCGCGACGACGTCCGGCCCTCCGGCGCAGGGGGTCGAAGAAGAAGGAGCGAGCACGGCGGAGACAGGCGCGGGACTTCTTGATCCCCATCGGCAGGATGCGGAACTCCTCCTGGTTGCCGGCCTCGCTCTTCCAGTCCTCCCCTCGCCGATTCGCGCGCACGTCCGAGCCAGCTGTCTGCGTTGTCGCCTGGAGCATCTGGAGAGACGACGCGCAGGCCACGGACGGATCGGAAGCGCGTTGACTTGGATGGTTCAGGAGCACGCGCGCGAGCAGCGCGAGGAGAGCGGGAAGACGACGAAAGACAGGAAGGCGAGGGGCGATCGAGACGACCAGAACGATGGACTGAGAAAAAAAGGGGGGAGGGAAGGGGAGGGAAGGAGAAGAAAAGAGAGGAGACGGGCTGGGACGGGAAAGAACGGGAAAGAAATTTGAGGGATGGGAGGAGGAGAGGGAACGAAGGGGGCTGAGGGACTGAGGCAATGAAAGAATGAGGTAGCGAGGTGCCTGCGGGAGAAAGGAGGCAAGAGGTAAGCAATTCGAGAAAGAAAATGGCAAGGGGAAAGGGGAGCGCTGGTGGTTGACCCAACGTTCCTGCCCGCCGTCCCAGAAGCCCCCCCAACCTTCCCGATCCACCGTCCCAGACGACGGTTGCCACCCCTCCCTCCCCCCGCCCTACCCCCCTTGCCCGAACAGAGAAGGGTACGACCCCCTTCCCCACCCCACTCTCCTGCGCAGCAGCCCTGGGGGACCCGAGTCCGGGAGGGCCCCTGGAGTGAGCGCAGACGCACGCCCTCGAGGGCCGCGCAGACCCGCGCCGCACCACCGCCGCAGGGCGCACTCGCGGCCGCTCCGCGGCGCGGCCGCAGCCAGCCGTCGCCGCAGCCTGGCGGCCGCCACCGCCCAGCGCCTTGGCCGCCCCGCAGCCCCGGCGGCGCCCGCGCCCCGCGCCCGCGGCTGCCCCGCAGGGCCGACCAGCCGCGGCCGCCAGGCACCCCGGCGAAGCCCCGACCCCCGCCGGCGCCCTCGCGGCCCACCGCGCCTCGCGCCGCCCGCACCAGCTCCTCGGGCCGCGCCTCCTCCGGGAGCTCCCAGACGCGGCCGAGGCGCCACGCCCGCGCCGCGCCGCCGCGGCAGGCCCCCGGCCTCAGCGGCGAACGCCGTCGAGCGGTCGCCCGAGTGGCGCGCGTGCCTGGCGCGCTCGGCCCGTGCTGCGCCGCCTCGCCGGGGCGCCTCGCCGCCGCGCGCCAGGCGGGCTCGTCGCCGGCCGCCGGGTGGCGGGCGGACACGTCCGGCCACCGCCTGCCGTCGCCGTCGCCGCACTCGACGTCCAGGACGGCCCAGCCCAAGACCGGCGCCTCGTGCCCTGGCCTCCGCGCGCCGGCCCTGTCCCAGGTGTGGGCACCCGCGGGTCGTAGGAGCGGCGCGCAGTGGCTCCACCTCCGAGCGCAGCCGCAGCCGTCGGTGCCGAAGGCCGTCCTCCGTCCTGCTGCTCCGCCGCCCTCCCAGACGAGTGGACGGGGGGAGAGTGGCCAGGCACCCGAGGATGTGGTAGGCGCAGCTGTTGGCGCAGCCATCGAGGTCGACTTCGAAGCACCGTGCGAAGAGGGAGAAGACGGGAGAGAGAGAATAGCTCCGCCATGGTCGTGGAGATTGTCAGCGAGACTGGTTGCGCGCCACTCATTCTCGAAGCGGACGTCGACGATGTCGTCGGCGCGGCCGCGGTGCGGCCGTTGGCGAGGACGTCGTTGCACAGGTACACGATGGCATACTCGTAAGCGACGTCGGTATAGCCCTGAGAGTATTAGTTGCTACTATAAACGTGGGGCCCTTGCAGCACAGCTCCTCGTAACCGTCGATCTGCGCCGCCCCGCAACCGCGCGAGACGGAGCTGCGGTCGAACGGACTCAGAGGCTCTTCTCCCTGCGACTGTCCGAGCAAACCAGGTGCCGGGACCGACGGTCCACACCTAGAACCTGGCGCCCGACGGCGGTGGCATCTCGGAAAACCCGAACACACACACACACACACAAACGAACAAACACATACACATACACATACACATACACATACACATACACATACACATACACATACACATACACATACACATACACATACACATACACATACACATACACATACACACACACACACACGCGCACACACACACGCACGCACGCAAGCACGCACGCACGCACGCACGCACGCACGCACGCACACACACACACACACACACACAGAAAGCGAAGCCTGTGTGCGCCAAAAGGCGCCCCACGCGACGATGGAAAAGGCAGGGTGGCAACCGAGAGCTTGCATATTTACTCGCGAGAACGAGGTACCATCGACGAAGCCGCGGTGGTCACTGCTTTGCAGTCTGGATTGAACGTGCGCTGCGCGTCCATGGTCTGGGCGGTGGCAAGCCACTGGTGGATCTGCTCCTCGCACGTCGAAGGCAACGCAGGGTGGATCTCTAACGCCCAGCAAGGGATGCTCGAGCCCGCGCTGAGGGAGAGGGCGAGGTGGGGGGACAGGGAGATGTGATATCTATATATATATATACATGTATATATATGATATAGAGAGAGGGAGAAAGAGAAAAAAACAATAAAGAAAAAGAGAGTGAGAGAGAGACAAAGAAAAAAAACATAAGAAGAAGAGGAACTGGCACCACATCTGACATCCTACCCCTCCCCCCCTTCCTTCCCATTGCGCTGATGGTTTCTTTATCCGCGAACGCGTGACATGGCCGACCTGGAGCTCCCCCCCAAAAACAGCCCCACCCCACCCCCCTCCCAAAAAAAACATAACTGTTCGCTCCTAGCTGTTCACGTGCTAATCAATACGTATATCCCAAACCCTCGGTACCCGCCCTCGTCGTTTTCGATCGTACCCCCTTGGGGGTATATCTTCCTTACCTGCCACGCGTATTTAGTGCAGCCCCTAAAACAAGGGAAGAGAGGACGGGTGGAAGGGAGAGGGAGAATAATGGAGCACGAGAGAAATTAGCAGGACGGGGGCAAAGAGCAGAAACAAGTTGATCGAACCAGACGGGCAGATCGGGTGGGCAGACCCATAGCGGGCAGGTCGGGAAGGCGGGCCCAGGCGACGAGGTCGAGCAGGCGGATTGCTGAAGCATGGGTCCTGCATAAATCGCGAGGAAGTCTCGAGCTATATCGCGATTCCTAAGCAAATCGTGAGAAAAACCAGCGTGGGCCACGAAGGGCATAAAATCTGAGGCCACAGAGGGCAGCGACGGGGCCACTGAGGGCAGCACTAGGGCCACGAAAGGCAGCGAAGGGGCCACAAAGGGCGACAGAGGGGCCACGAAGGAAATGCATATGGGGCCACGACGGGCGCGAGCGAGCGGGGGCCACGAAGGGCATCCGCACACGGGGCCACATAAGGCGACAGCGGGGCCACTGAGGGCAGCACTGGGCCCACGAATGGCAGCGAGGGGGCCACGAAGGGCTGCCACGGGGCCACGAAAGGCATGCGTATGGGGCCACGACGGGCGCGTGCGAGCGGGGGCCACGAAGGGCATATAATGCGGGGCCACAAATGACAGCGACGGGGCCACTGAGGGCACCAACAGGGCCACGAACGGCAGCGACCGAAGGCGACCGCGGAACCAATACGGGCAGCGAGGGGCATCGAAGGCGGGCGAAGGACAGCGAGCGGCGAATGCAGTCATTAACGGGCTGGTTGGGCGGTCAGGCCACGACGGGCGGGTCGACCAGGCGGGTCGTTGAAGCGTGAGTCCCGCTTGAACCGCCAGGCAATATGTAGCGGGAGCACGATTCGTGAGTGTCGAGGACCAGCATCTGAATAATCTGTGAAGAGCTATAAAAGCGAAGCGGTTCGGTGGTAAGTTGGGAGGACATCCCAGCCGAGAACGCGATTCTGCAACAAATTGTCAAGAAGTATCAAGCGAGAGCCGCGACTCGGTGGTAAATTGCCAGAAGTCCCAAGCGAGAGCGCGATTCTTCAATAAATTGTGAGGACATATTAGGCGGGAGCCGGTGTTGTTGTAAACCGGGGGCCAACGACTCAAATTGAGCCTCAAGACTTTCCCTGATAAAAAGCCTGGTGCGAGCCCCGGGAGGGGCACTTCAATCGAAAAATTCAATATGCACCCGGCGGGGGGGATCAACAATAATGATTCTTCAGAAATGAAAATTCAATCATTTAAAAAACTGTTCGCTCATATCTGCTCGAAATGTCCGTTAACGCGTATTTCCCAAACCCTCGACCCCCGCCCTCTTCGTCTTCGATCGTACCCCTTTTGGGGGGGATACCTTTCTTCCCTGCAGGCCGGGCCCCGGCAAGCGGCGGGGCGGCCGCGGACCGTCGGCCTGGCCAGCGGCAGCGCTGATCGGCGGCAACCCAACCACAAGAGGGACGGACAGGGGACCGACCACGACGACGACGACGACGACGACGACGACGACGACGCCGACGACGACGACGGCGACGACGACGACGACGACGACGACGACGCGCGAAAGCGAGAGCGAGAGAGAGAACGACAGCAGGGCCACGAAGGGCAGATAATGCGGAGCCACAGAAGGCAACGACGGGGCCCTTGACGGTAGCAACTGGGCCACGTAGGACAGAGAGGCGGACACAAAGGGCGACAGAGGGGCCACGAAGGGCATGCACATGGGGCCACGACGGGCGCGAACGAGCGGGGGCCACGAAGGGCATGCGTATATTGGGCCATTGAGTACAGCAACGGGGCAACGAAGGGCAGCGAGGGGGCCATGAAGGGCTGCAACGGGACAACGAAGGGCAGCGAGGGGGGCACGAAGGGCTGCAACGGGGCCACAGAGGGCAGCGAGGGAGCCACGAAGGGCTGCAACCGGGCCACGAAGGGCAGCGAGGGAGCCACGAAGGGCTGCAACGGGGCCACGAGGGGCAGCGAGGGGGCCACGCAGGGGTGCAACGGGGCCACGAAGGGCAGCGAGGGGGCCACGAAGGGCTGCAACAGGGCCACGACGGGCAGCAAGGGGGTCACGAAGGACTGCAACGGGGCCACGACGGGCAGCGAGAGGGCCACGAAGGGCAGCGAGGGGGCCACGAAGGGCAACGAGGGGGCCACGAAGGGCTGCAACGGGGCCACGAGGGGCAGCGAGGGGGCCACGAAGGGCTGCAACGGGGCCACGAAGGGCAGCGAGATTCCGATTCCTAAGAAATCTGCGAGGGAGTCCTAAGCGTGTGCGCGACACCTGGGTGCCTGAGTGTCGGGAGCACGGCGCTGGAGTAAATTGCGTGAAATTCCAACGCAAGGGCGCTACTCTTGAGTAAATTGCAAGCAAGTCTTCAGCGAGAGCGCCACTCCAGAGCGCCGAGAAATCGCTTCCTAAATAAATTGTAAGTCGAGCGCGAGTCCTGAATAAAATGCGGGGAAGTCTCAGGCGGAAGCGGGGGTCCTGGCTAAATTGTGAGAAAGTCTAAGGCGGGAGCCGTTGTTTTATTGTATTTCGGGGGCCAACGACGCAATTTGAGGACGAAGATTTCCCCTGATAAAAAACCGGGTACGAGCGCCGGGATGGGCACTTCAATTGAAAAATACGATGTGCAGTGAAGGGGGATCAACAATGCTTATTCTTCAGCAATGAGAACTCAACAACAGCAACAGCAACAGCAGCAGCAGCAACAACAACAAATAGGTGCAGCTGGAAGAGGGGAGCTGCGTACATAGGGGTGGGAGGTGGCGGGTGAGCAGGAGGATGAGCAGGAGGAAAAGGAAGAGAATAAGGAGGAAGAGGAGGAGCATGCGGGAGGAGGAAAACGACGACGACGACGAAGACGAATAGCAGCAGCAGGAAATGGAGTGGAAGGAGCGGAAGGAGGAGGACCAGGGGAAGGCGGAAGAGGGGAAATGAGAGGGGCGACAAAGTGGACCGCGGTGGGGCGAGAGCGCCATTCTGAACGACGGGAGCTATGAGACCCACGCTGCAGCTGCAGCACCGTTTTGAACCACCAAAGAACAATCGGATCGTAACAAAAAATATGTGAGGGAACACCTTTGTCCAACCCTGTGTGAAACGAACAGTACGCGGAAATAATCGGCGATCTTCTGGACGGGGTGAAGGGACAGAGAGAAGAGTAGCATTCGTAATGTGCAGTTCTGAAGGGAGAGTATGTGAGAGAGAGGGAGAGAGAGAGAGAGAACACACAAATACAAGAGCTAGAAGTGGAGCAGTTCGGAGGGCATTCGTGAGCAGATATCTGGGGTGCCCGAAGAAGAAGGCGGCGAACGACGGAATACGCCCTGCACAGGCTCGCACTCTGTCGCCTCCTGACTCCCGCGCGCTTCCCCGGCCCTGCTGTCCGCATAACGCTGTGGGAAGTCAGCGAGCTTGTCCTCGGGCACCTGTCACATATGGCCAGAGCTCCGAACACCGAGTCGAGCGTCGGGATGCGAAGGGGCGATGGAGGGCTGGGATGCGAGAGACAAGCGGCATCTGCACGAAAGGATTGATGAAGCGTATTGGTGCAGAGTCGACGGAACAGCCGCAATCCGTGCAACATTCGACTGAGGCATTTCCGTCTCTGCCGGCGTGGCCGTGGGCGCGACGATCGTAAGAGCATCGGTTCGCGCGCTGCGCGCCGCCAACAGCTTCACGCCTCCCGCTGCCGCCTCTCCCTCCTCCCCGTCACCTTTCATTCCAAGAGAGGGCCCCCGATCGGGCTCCCAAGATGACAGTCGAACCAGACTCTGGCCTCACAAGATTGCCAGAAAATTTCTTCCAAAGCCGACCGCAGGGCGCCGCCCTGCTACTTACCATCCTCCCTCGTTTCCTCGCCATGGTTCTCCTCCTCCTCGCCTACTACGACGACCAATATTCCTCCGAGTCCTCCGCATCCTTCTTCTGTTTATTTTTCCTCCTCCTCCTCCTCCTCCTCCTCTTCCTCCTCCTTTTCCTCCTCCTCCTCATCATCCTCCTCCTGCTCCTCAACCCCCTCCTCCATCAGCTCCTCTTCAAGCTGCTACTGGCCAGCCAGCAGTCAGCAGTGCTTGCCAGAGAGTGTCAGCGGACGTGGCTGGCGGAGGTCTCAGTACGAGGCACCTCCATCACCATCACTGCCATCTTCCCCATGGGGTACCTCGCGGGGCAAAAGAACGCGGACGGACGGGGGAGGACGGAATGGGGGAGGGCCAGCAGGGAGGGAGCGAGGGGCCAGGGAAGAGGATGAAGTCGCGAGGACGCGGGGGGAAGGATCGATGATGCAGGAACGAAGGAGGGAGCAGGGGAGGAGGAAAAACAGATTAGATCTGTGTGAGTATACGGTCTAAAACATACACACGCACACTCATAATGCAGCTACGTAGATATACAAAGAGGACGAGGGTGCTTACGAGAAGTGCGCGCACACATCCCACCCCCCCAACGGGATTGTTGCGGGAAGGATGCTCCTGCGCGCGCAACGCAACGCTCGTGTCCCAGCCCCAACCTTGCCCCGGCTGTGCCTGAGAGTGAGCTCGTTCTTCGAACGCGGGGAGTGCATTGGCGATGCACCACGCAGTCGCCCCGCGATCATGAGTATCGCAGCGTCGCCCCGCGATTGATCGAGCGAAGATCCGTTGGCCGTGCGTGAAAACGCGTGTCGCGCCATGGGCGCGAGGTGGTCGAAAACAAGAGTGTTCGCGCTCGGGTTGGCGCGCGGCGCCACGCAGCTTCCTTGCTTGCCTGGACAGCGACCGCTCGCGCGCGGGCGAAGACCCGCGCGTCGCATGGGAGGCCCAATCGCGGAACGCAACGTATCGCGCAGGGGTCGGCGCGCGGAAGGAGTGTTCGCAGTGGTTCGCATGGCCAAGTGGCCTCAGTGGCGGTGTTCGCATGCGACTCCCCGCGCCCGGTCCAGCGCGTCGTGGCCCCATAGGGCGCCCCACCGAACACCGAGAGCCTCAGTGGCGGTGTGTCCGCATGCGGTGCCCCCACTCAGTACCGCGCTCCGTGGCTCCATAAGGAAGCTCCACCGGAGGCCTCAGTGGCGATGCTCGCATGCAGTTCCCCCATTCAGTACAGCGCTTCGTGGCCCCATAGGGAGCTCCACCGAGGGCCTCCTTGGCGGTGCTCGCACTCGGCTCCCCCACCCTGTGCAGCGCCTCGCGGCCCCACAGGGAGGTCCGCCAACGGCCTCGGTGGCGGCAAAGCTCGCATGCGCCTGCCCCACGCAGTACAGCGCCTCGTGGCCCCCTAGGGAGCTCTCCACCGGAGGCCCCTGTGGGGGCCCCGCTCCATTGCGGCACACCCCTCACACGGTTCGCGACATACGAATGGTTTCCACCAAAAGTCCCACTGGCACCGCATACATGGCGGCCCCGCCCCTTATCGGCACACCCTTCGCATGCTTCATGGCCTCATGATAAGATCCCCCTAAGGCGATACCCCAAACAACGGTACTCACAAGTGCTTGTGGTTGGGCACTTCACCAGGACATTTGTCCCAACTATCCTGTGGTGTTGGGTTCCCGTTTTTGAAGAGACAGCGCCCCGCGTTCTCCTCCTCTCCTCCTCCTCCTTCCCCTCCTCCCCCTCCGTATGCCAATTCGGCACACACCTCACACGGTTCGTGGCCCTACAGGGAGCTCCACCGACGGCCTCAGTGGCAAAGTTCGCATGCAGTTCCCCACCTATTTCGGCACACCCCTCACACGTTGCGTGGCCCCTACGGAGCTCCAACGAAGACCTCAGTGGCAAAGTTCGAATGCGGCTCCACGCCCATTTCGGCACACCCCTCACACGATTCGTGACCCCATAGGGAGCTCCGCCGACGGCCTCAATGGCAAAGTTCGCATGCGGTTCCCCGCCCATATCGGCACACCCCTCACACGGTTCGTGGCCCCGTAGGGAGCTCCACCGACGGCCTCAATGGCAAAGCTCGAACGCGGTTCCCCTCCCATGTCGGCACACCCCTCACACGGTTCGTGGCCCCATAGGGAGCTCCACCGAGGGCCTCAGTAGCAAAGTTCGCATGCGGTTTCCCGCCCATTTCGGCACACCCTCTGACCGTTCGTGGCCCCACAGGGAGCTCCTCCGAGTGCCCCAGTGGCATGATACGCATGCCGCCCCCCCTCAACTTTGGCACAGCCCTCATACGTGTCGCGGCCCCATAGGCCATAGGGAGCTCCTCCGGTCCCAGAGGCGCCCCAGACGGCCCGAGATACTCCCAAGAGGGGTCCACGAGCGCTCCAAGACAGCCCAAGAGCGCTCCAAGAGACCCCAAGACCGCCCAAGACCGTCCAAGGGGGCCCCGAGGCGCCCCAAGAGGCCGCCAAGAGGCTTCCCAAGAGGGCCCCAAGAGGGAAATGTCGTTGATTTTTGTATGGTTTTCAAAGGTTTTTCTGGTTCTCCCTTTTTCAGGCCAACATCAGCCCGAACCGGCCCAAGAGGCTCCAAAGATCGCCCCAAGATAGCCCAAGACCAAGAGAGTCCCAAGACAGCCCAAGAGGGCTCCAAAACGGGCCCAGGAGAGCCCCAAGAGCGCCCAAAGAGGCACCCAAGAGGGCCCCA